CTATTAGTAGTCTTTTTTATATTTTCGTCGTCGTTTATTTTAGCTTATTACATTAGCTTTATTTTGTTATTAGTTTGTCGTTTGTTTTAGTGGCTATTTTGTTATCGTTTTGTAAGTGGACTATAAGTAGCCATATTAGCTATTGTAACAGAAAGATTTGAATACTTAAGAATTGAATCGGAAGTCGAGTGTTTTCTCTCTATTTTAGGGATTTCCTCCTTGTGTAGGCGGATTTGGACTCTAAGTTCTATCTTCTGTCCGAGTGAGGCCAGTAAAATCCTTTCATACCCATTTCACTACATCATTTGATATCAGATCCCTTGATTTTTCTTAGGGAGGTACGATAGCCATGATCAGATATTAGGCCGACAAAATCCTTTCCTATTCATTCCGCTAGTTAAGCTAGGCTCTCTTCGTGCAATAATTCACAGAAATGATGTGATTATAAAATCTAGAAAATGAGGCTCCCATAAAAAAAGAAAATGTAGATTTTTTAATACGTCTAGTGTATTGGTAGGATAAATTTTTTTAACTATTAAATTTACGTATTTTTTAATTTTTACGTGATTTTAGACAAATATAACGGTTAGAAAACATAGCAAAAAAATAAAAAAATAAAAATCTAGAAAAAGAAGCCAATAATTGGACTATCTTTAGCCGCCGGGTACTGTTTTTTAAATGGAAATTTGTAATTTGTTATATGTTAGTTTATTCAATTTGCCATATATTTAGCGTGCCTGGGTAGCTTTTTCATTTCACGATTCCCACCAACTAGGGAATAATTGTAAAGTTGAATTGGTCACAAAAAAATGTCCTTTTTTGTAAATATGGTTGATATTTTTCAACACTGTAAGGCCTCGTTCACTTTGTAGATTCGAATTTTCAATTCGAATTGAGATGTAACATTTTCTGAGGGCTTTTCACTGTAGCAGGAAAAGTTAGATGTGACATTTTCTGAGAGCTTTTTACTGTAGAAACCTAAAACTGAAAACTCGAATCGGTGAAATGAACGAGGCCTAAATTCACGTTACGATTTAGTTTATACACGTAATCACATCAAACGAAGGATTTTCTTTCGTTTTTTTTTAATTCTCTAATTCAAACTTAGTAGACGTTTGATTTATAGATTCAGAATTATTCTCGTTTTACGTGTGTTCTTTGTGAGAGAAAAATAATGTAAAGAATCATGAATCATACTTCAAAATCAAGGACGAATATAGGAAACAAACGTCAAAAAATGAGTTTTTTTTAGTAAGGTTAGAAAAAATAAACCAGTAGTAGTTTTTTATTTTGCGCTATCAAATTTGTTATAAAAATTATCTATTCTACATACTTTTTATGGCAAAGTCTTTAGTCAAGTAGACATCTTTTGCCTGATCAGAACGGCAGTTGTACAACCTAAAGATTTTTTATACATTTACATAACGACAGTTGTACAATTAAGTATAAGTTTTGTATATTTACACGTTATACAATTTAGTATATGCCTTGTACAATTTAGCATATGGAAGTTGTACAATTCAGTATAAGTCTTGTATATTTACATGTAAAGATGTATAAGTTGTACGACAAGTTGTACAATTCATCATATGTCTTGTATATTTACACACGGCAGTTGTACAATTCAGCATAAATCTTGTATATTTACAGAAGTACAATGTTGTGGTTTTCAAACGTTTTAACTAGCATTGAAGGTAATATTGTGTTCCTTATATGATTTTTCTGTAAAATTTCAAGTTATCACGAGATGATGTAATTACCATTAAATTTTTAAAATCATCGTTCCTTTTATTATTAGTATCTAAAGTTTTGCTCAAGGAAAACGCAAAATTTAGGGATTAATCAACCAAAAAAAATTTAGTTGCGGGCGTTGTCGTGAGGCGGTGGGTCTCCTCGTCCGTCTATCGGAAGTCGCCGGCAGCGAGATGGCTGAGGAGGAGGTCGAGAGAGAAATGGGTTTGGTTGTGGGAGTGGGAGTGCGCTTAAGAGACGCATGAAAATCTCATGTGCAGATCCGTTACTTAGAATCTATCTACGAAGAGAAGAATTCCAAAACGGCAAAACTCCTCGTGACTTAGAATTGATATGCAGATCCGCTACTTGATTCGATCCCAAAGATATTATCCTTCAAACTCAAACCACCCTCAAAATTCCTTTTGTTCCTTCCTAACCAAACGTGCACAAAAGATAGGCAGCATTGCCCAACTAGATAGAATCTTAACCTGAGGAGCTTTACAAAACACGACTCCCTTATGAACAAATCATCACACCAACTTGGAAATACCCTTATATCTATAATTCTAGACTATAAACATTGACAATTCTTTAGAAATTGGCTATATTGTTGACCTAATTACCTCTATTACTTAATAAGTACACTACGGTTTAAATTATGAAATGAAAGCCTGTGTGCTTTCTGATTCATACAAACAGGGTTGTTCCTCGGTATATTTTCAATTTGTGTGCGAATAATACTACTTACTAGAAACTAAAGTAAAAGTCACATACAAATAAGTTAAACTCATTCAAAATTTCAAGGAGAAATGTAAGGCAGCTTCTGCCAATAGCTCACCCACTTCTCCAACTTCTTTCCATCTCGAAACCTTTCAAAAAATGCATAGGAAACGCTATAGGCATCCCTTTCGCATAATCCGAATCCCCGCCCATCGCCTTCTTCTCCATAATTGAAGTCCCCAATTCATCAATCCAGCAAATGAGTTCCAACACCCACGTTTTCTCCCGGCCCACAATTCGAAAATAGTCTGGAAACTTGGGGATAAGGCTCCGCTCGTAATCCCGAGGAAGATCCAGATCCCATTTCAGGTTTTTGATCACATTCAACGGCAATTTGTTGGCTCCGCAGAGCATCAAGAGCTTCAAGACCCGGTCGGCGACGTCCTTCTTGTAGCTCTCACTCTGGAACATTATCTGCTCTTCGGAATCGAGGTCGAGGGCTTCGTCAGTGAGCTTGATGTGGGGCTGAAACCGACGCCGGCGGGGAAGAATTCACGGAAAATGGAGGGGTATCGGCAGATGAACTCGATGGGGCGGGTGGGGATCTTGAGGGAAGCTCTGTTGTCGGCGATGATAGAGATGGGGAGGGACTTGGAGGGCTCTGATTTGATGAGATTCTTGGTGTTGATTAGGGGAAGGAGGCTCTGATTTTAATCCGATGGCCCACAATTACTGAGCGGACCGATCATGCAGATTTCATATGCTGGATAGGAGACAATTCTTACTTTTTATAATTTGATTTAATTTTAATCATATTAAATAATCAACCCTATAAGTAAGAAAACTTAAAAGTCCCTTAAGATATATAAAAATTTGACAGAATGGAGACGACTACTTATATATCTTCATTAATCATTACCAATTAAGTTATCAATATTAATGTAAATCTTTCACGAATACGCTATCAACATAATATTATTGACAATCATCGAAATTTACATATTAACCAGTCAAAAATTTACTTCGTACTAATGAGCATTTATCGTTTCTAATTCTCTAGTCTACTGCACGATTTCCATATATGTGCTGCTGCCCAATGATTTAAACGACACAAAACGCGTATCCATACGTCTTCATCTTCTTTTTTTTTTTTTTATTAACTTTTCTCTTGATAATTTTCTATTGCAACTTTTATTAGTTTCTTGAAACTAACTACAGAAATATTGATACTCAAAGTCCTATATATATTTTATTAGAAATTAATTAACTAGCTAGCTTGCCACTTTTTCAAAGTTACATGTATGTATATAGAAGAGGACATAATTTGTGTGGAACATGCCTTTCACGAATTACATCTTCTACCAAATCAGCAACTAAAAGAACAAACCGGTTTAGGTTTAGGGTGTTTTTCACGTGAAAATATTCACAAATATGATTAGCAAAAAAAAAAAAAAAAAATACAAGCACGGTCAAATTGTCTTAATAAATAGATAAGAGCTTGCCCTCGGTGCAAAGATGTGCTTGTGTTTTTGCAATTCATTACGTACACAACTCTCTTTGAGTCTTCTATTGTTTTCATATATATATATATATATATATGTTACATAGACATACATATTTACGTAATATATAGATTACGTTAAATATATATATATATATGTGTATATTTTATGGTGAGCCTACACACACATATATATATATATATATAACGTGCAAAAATTTATATGGATCATATGCAACATGAAAACTCATAAAAGGGGTTGATAATTAATTTGTCCTGAAAGAGAAGAAATATAATTGGAAAGAGACGAAAGATCTCATAGATAGAAAAGTTGACATTTCTTGTACCTATATCAAACATGCACACGTTTTATATGATAGAAAATGGAAGATGAGATGAACAAATAAGATTCAAACTCCCCTTTGAAAACGCAACAAGCAAAATCCAAAAAAATGCACGTCACACGAGGGAAATATCGCTCTTGGGCTTTTTTTTTTTTTTTTTTTGTTTTCTTTTTCTTTTTCTTCTCACCCCCGATGGAGACGGTAGTATAATAGCAGTCATTAGTCAATGACAATGAATAAAAAGCTCAAAAGCCTCCAAGCCAGGAAATTTCAGTAAAAAAACTCGTGGAATTCATTTACAATAACATAATAATTAGTATGAGTAGTTATGCAGTATATATATATGTGTGTGTGTGTGTGTGTATAGTTATAACCTCATTACGAAGATAATACATCAATTTCTTGAATCGTCAGAAAAAGAAATCCGAGAAATGACCCAACAATATTCGACATCCGAGGTGGCGACTCAAGACCTCAAGAAGAAGCTAACAATCAGGTATATACAAATGATTTCATGCATGCAATATTAATGATGCGTTTTATATTATTCTTTCTCAATCAAACTATAATATCAAATATAAATATCAATCTATTTGTTTAATCTTCCTACAATATACGTGGTGATTGAGAATTTGAGTACTATATAGATCATATCAAAATTAACTATGAAATTCTGTTAAATAACTTGAAAGTGAAAAACAAAATCAATAACATAAGATGATCAGCTAATTGGAATTTCTTTACATGTGTGTGTGTATAAATATATGCATGGGATAAAATTGATGGAATATATTAATAATTACTTTTCAGTGAAAAGGAAGGTCAGGAAGATGTGGCTGCTAAAGAAACTGAAGAGCTGAGAGCTGAAATATCATCGCAAGCTGGGCATGATCATTGTGCCAGCTTTGACCCAGTTCACAAAATTATAAAGGGGTTTAAGTACTTTCTTGACAACAAATTCAAGTAAGATGATATTATATATGTGTGTGTCTATGTGTGTGTGTGTATATATACATATATATATATATATAGCAATAGCTTTATTACATAATACATACAATATATATACATACAATATATATATATATATATATATATTATACCTCTCAATTTTGTGTACGAGTTAACTTTCATAAAAATGTTTTTAATTAGTTTGGGAGGTGCACTATATCAATTAAAATCACGTTGCCTATTAATTTATTTTTATTTTTCCTTAATACGTTTCCCCGATGATTTTGCAGCAAATATCCACAATGGTTTCAGCAACTTGCCGAAGGCCAACATCCAAAGGTACCATTTTTTTAATTATACAAGACACAAACAGACACACACACACAATTTAAGCCCTTAATTCTGATAGATACTCCATTGATAGAATTACTATTTTCCAATTTCTAGTCATGACTGGGAAAGTATTAAGAGATATAGTACTTAATTACTTTGTTGTTAATTAAACTTCACTATTAATTATGATTAGTTTCTGGTATTTGCGTGCTCGGATTCGAGAGTGAGCCCTTCTCATGTCCTCAACTTCCAACCTGGGGAAGCCTTTATGGCTCGCAATATTGCCAACTTGGTTCCTGCTTTCAACAAGGTTAATTAATTAATTTACTTAAATCAAATGTTAATGCTTTTTTTTTTATTATTTATTTCCCTTAATGTCTAGAGAACTCTTATGTTAGAAACTACTATTTTATCCTATTAGTTTTTAACCATTACATTACTTTTTTTAAGGCCCGATCTATGATTTTTTTAATTTGAAAATATATATATACTTAAAAATCAAACAGTTCAAAAATTAATCTAATGGTTATAACAACAACAACAGTACGTACTGATAGAGTAACATAGCAGTACCTACCATAAAATTTCCCTTTTTCTCACTTTAGTCATATGATTTGCAAAAACTGATCAAGTTTGTTTTCTGCATATTTATCAGCTGAGATACTCAGGAGTTGGAGCAATCATCGAATATGCTGTGGCCGAACTTAAGGTGCATCAACATATATACTATATTAATTAACATTAACTTAAACTTTTCCTATATTAAAACTTAATTCTTCTGATTCTCTCTTTTGTATTTTTATTCTGATCGCTAATAAGAAAAGTAAAACTATACAAACAGGTAGAGAATATTTTGGTCATCGGACATAGTCGCTGTGGTGGTATACAGAGGCTCATGTCTCACCCTGAGGATGGTTCTGTTCCCTAGTAAGAATTTTTACAAATATATAATTAAATTGGGCAATAATTATATGTTTTCTAATTTTTTTTACTTACAAACAGGGATAGTTTCAAAAAAAAAAAAAAAAATCCGTTGGACACTATGAAAAATAAAATAACTTTTTTTTTATAGAATAGACATATATAGTTAATTTTATATCTTAATTATTGAATTAAGGTATTTCATAATTTTTTAATAAAATGGACGCATAACAAAATTTATAGAAATTTTGTAACTCAGTATAAATCATTGCCCCGTCACTCTTTACAAAAACAAAACGTCTACGTGGATCAAGCATGACCAAGTCAATATTATTATCAGTTTTCATGGAAAAATTAAGAACGTGTTCATTTAAAAAAAAAAAGAAAAGAAAGAAAACATAAACATTATTACGTAAGACCTTAATTTTCTGTAATAGTAATGAGTGGATATTGGTATTTTGATGAAATAATTTGCAGCGACTTCATAGATGATTGGGTCCAAATTGCTTTAACTGCCAAGGCCAAGGTCAAAGCTGAATATGGCAATTTGCCATTTGAGGAACAATGTGAAATCTGTGCTCAGGTAAATAATTAAGCTAATATATTTACCCCCCTAGACTTAAACACTTATATATACTATGGTTTAGTGGCAATATCAAGTCTTTTAATTTTTGTATATTGCTTTACCATCCCACTCAAGCTTCAATCTTACATACCATAAAAAATTGCAATATATTGTATATGCATATTAAAAACTAATATACTATATATATATATATATGTTAATATCCAATACTATATATACTATAATACAATTCATTACAACATATCAAACAATAATGAAGGGTTTAACTTTTTTGCAGGAAGCAGTGAATCTGTCACTAGTAAACCTACAAACTTATCCTTACGTTCAAAGGGCAATACAAGACAAAAAACTGGCACTTAGAGGTGCACACTATGATTTCGTCGTTGGATCTTTGAAGCTCTGGGAATTAGAGACAAAGATTTCAGATCCAATAATAATCCCTCCCTCCTAAATATTATTGTGAATTTTATCACATGCAAAAAAAAAAAAAAGAAAAAAAAAAGGCACATCTTGCGTTTGTTATATGTCATGGTAAGACGTGCCTATAGAAAAATAAAGGGCAATATATATAAATAAATTAGCAGCTAAAAAATAGCCCCTCTTTGTTATTTGAAAATAATAATAATAAAAATAAAAAAAGCCCCTCTTTGTTATTAAAAAATAAAAATAAAAAAGCCCCTCTTCGTTTTGTACTCTTACTACTTGTCGTTTTGTAACTTTTATGATGAAGAAGAAAGTCGTGAAACGAATAAAGTGGAGCAGGCTTGTATTCTGGCTCTTGTTTGTTGTTGTCACTGTCAGTGCAGTTTTCCCAACTGCAGTTTGTGAAATATATAATAGTTTTTTTTTTTTTTTTGGTATTTAAGAATAACCCAAGTTTACTGATTTGGCATTTGGAAATATTGAAGGAAGATGCAATTTAATAGTACTGTAAAAAAAAAAAAATAGAGTGAATGCAAAAAACGATATGAAACAGAGAATGAAAAGTTGGCTACCATATTTTGCCTAGTAGAATGGATATAATCATGCATGCATGCATGCACACACACATACATACATATACACATTATTTATATATGTATATATATCAAATCTTAGAAAATTAATTAACTTATCATTACTATTGACAACATGGTCAAAATGGACAAGAACCCTAGTAGTGATTTTTAATTAGTGGTTAGGTACCAAAATACGTAATGAAAATGAACTAGCAAGCTGGGAAGTCTAATTATTAAGATCAACATCAAATTAGTTACTTGGGTGCATACACACACACACACATTAGATAATTTTGAATTAATGAACTAGCTGAGATTAATGAAAGCAAGAAGTGAATATATAGGGACCCAAAAGCCATTTTTTCATGAGCAAATTAAAAATTGTACAAATGTTGTTATCTATGCATAATTAAATCTATGTCAATTGGTATATGTTTTAGAAAAAAAAAAACTAAATTAATTCTAAGTGCAAATGAGTAAAAAAAGGAAAAAAAAAAGCACTTTTCTGAAATTGAAAAAAGAAAAAGTTGTTTAGTCTATTAGTGGGGACTGTGGAGCATTGATATTGATAAGTGACAAATGGAAATGCTTTTTAGGTCTTTTTTCCAAAATGACCTTCTTCTATGTCAATGACAATGAGTTTGTTTTGGAAAGTTATTCTAATTCAAGCAAATTAAACAGAAAAAAAAGGGAAATGTTTTAAGCAGATCAATAAATTTTTGTTGTCATGACTTGTAGTGTGTTTGGGTGGGCAGGACATATTCCTGAGAATCACATTGTGGATTTCTCATATATATTTGCATCTGGCTAAAGAGTCATCATGTCTAATCTGAACCGTCCATTATTCTTTGATTGCAATGATCTCGAATTATTTTAGAGAAAGACCACCATCAGAGACATGATAATGTATTAAAAGTTCAAAAGTCTAATGATTGTTAATTTGTGGGAGCGCATTAATACTGAAAGATGAACTTTACAAACATATATAATGACATAATTTGAATTGCAAATTTATGTGTTAATAATTTATCCAAAAAAAAAATTATGTGTTAATAATGACTCTAATCACCCAAGAGGGGACCTCAACAGAGGATTAGGAACCCTCTGAAGCTTTTTGCGATGTGACCTTTTTCAGCCTGTAAAAATACTTTTTACTCTTCTTATGTTGTATGGAAAACATTTTGAAGAAGCTTTTTGGGAAACATATCAGGATGGTCCGTTTAGTTCACTGATTTAAGTTAAGATGCGACTTTATATGAGAACTTTTTATTATAATAAAAAAGTTAGATGTGACTGTTTCTTAGAGCTTTTTACTGTAACAAAACTCGAATTCTAAACTCAAATCGGTAAAATGAACAGACAGCTTAAAACTGATAATTTTTCTTTTTGTTTTTTCAACAAATGACGTCATTTTTTAAATCATTTAATAGTTAAGATTCAAGGTTGCATATTGAGATGTTCAGTAGTTTTCACCGAAATTTTACATCAATAAGATTACTAGCTAGAGAACCCCTTATAAGGATAATTTTATGATAGATTATGGGGGTAAAAAAAAAAAAAAAAAAAAAAAAAAAACAGATCACATAAGAATCAATGTTAGAAAAGTATGATAGTGTAACGGAATTTGATAAAGATCCGACTAATATAAAAGTTATCTTTTATAGTAGTTGATAGGGTATTTTTTATAGACTATCATAGAATTCTCGTTCAAATTGTATCCAATATATATTTTTCCTCTACCCTTCTTGATTGCAATGATTCAAAGAATTAGACAAAGATAAAAAAAATAGAGATAACAAAGCCTTGGTTCAAAAGTTCAATAATTGTTTGGCACAAATTCAATGCACGGGGGCCCTAGCTAAAATGAAATGCTAAACCCAAAAAGAAACAATTAGGTTCTTATAAAACATAAAATGAAAAAAGCCAAACGACATATCAAGACTCGAGTGAAAAAAATATAATAAGTAGTTCACTTTTTCTTTTTTCTTATGGGGTTTGATCTGGAATCAAGAAGTCTTCTCATTATTAGAATAGTTGTTGATCTGAATTTTGCTACTAAAGATGAGGCACCATGAAGAAAGGCAAATATATGATATAGCTGCTCCAAATAATGTAAATAACGCCAATATATAAAAAGCCAAAAAAAAACAACTGGCCTTATATATACCCTCTGAAATCTTTGCAGCCTTCTTGTTCCAATTGACATGTGACCGCTATAGAATAGCTTTTGCTATGTCAAATTGCCTAAGCCACAAATCCATCTGTTTTCACAACACCTCCTTTAATTTCTGTTATTTGCAGCTATCTATTTCTTTTTGTCCACACAATATTTTGTATTATTTTCTTTGAACTTTCCATGTTAGGGTATCCTTGTCGATAGTCGGTAATATTGGATATGATCAAATCATGTTAAAATAAAAAAGTAAATAAAATTAATAAAATTTAATAAAGATGTGACGGTGTAAAATAATACCCTATTAATAGAGTATTTTTTTAATAATCAACCAAAAAATTCTCGTTTTTTCTTTCTTCCCCTTAATAAATATAATAAAGTTGTGGATATTAGTTTCATGATATAGTGAAAATCACAGGAAGAAACCTCAAAGATTAGTGTGATGTAAAGGTTATGTCAGCTGCAGTTGTTTGAGATTGCTTTTAAAACTTCCAAAAGTACTTTGCATAATAAACGATACAACTATAGTATTTGGTAAATGTGCACAAAAGCACTTTGAACATAAATCAATGCATTTTTTACGTTATTTTGAAAAGTTAAAATGTTTGCTTATACTTTTGTTTTAAGTAAAAGTAGTGTTTCTGTTAAATGCACAACAATTATTTTAAAAACACAACAACCCCAAACTGGTCTTATATTTTATGGCCGAGATTAAAGTTTTACCCCAAAAAAAAAAAAAAAGAAAAGGCCGAGATTAGATTTAATGATACTAAAAAAGAAAACAAAATGATTAATTTCACCTCAAAGTTTGAGTGAATAGAATGCACATAATCGAAAGCAATTCATTCACAAAAAACAGACACATGAAACATATAAAAACATTACTATTATTGGTTGATATCTGGGTGCCTCCCACCTTAACCAATTAGAGTCTAACGAAGCTATTACATGTTTGCTTCTGGTCCATTAATATTAAATTTGGATTGTAATATTGAGTTTGCAGAGCTTAATTATCACTTGACTTAGAATTAGCATATAGATCCACCTTCATTTAATTTTTCATAATACTTTTTCCTCATTATTATAAAAATTCTCTGTGTACGCATATAGCTGAGCATTAGGTGAATCACTACAATTTTTGTGTGTACTTATTTATCTTATCTTTCGTATTACTACTCCGTTAGAAAAATAATAATAATAATAATAATAATTCGATTAATTCTTAACATAATAAACACAATAAAGGGAAGCAGTTTATTATGCAGTCATGGAAATTACTAGAAAAAATCCAAGTCTAGAAGCCAATATCACAAACAAAATCAAGAAAGTGATCTTCTTGAGGCCCCACTAGATAAGATCCGTTTGGATAATCAGCACTAGAAGAAATCCAAAAAGAAGTCTCATCATAATTTTCACTCATCATCACCTCCCCATGTGCACTTTGAGAGCCATATTCTTTTGTAATCACTTTATCACCTTCATCTAATTCACCCTTATTAGTACATAAATTTTTGTTTGGAAACTCGGATAAGTTTGTCCCTGATGGGATTGGGGTATCAAATAAATTCTTCAGCTCTCCTGAGATAATTGGTTGTGAATTCATCCTTGTTACTTTGCTCTTAATTCCCTTCTTGATTCCGAGCTTCTTGCTCAAACAAGTGTTCCAGTGGTTCTTGATCTGATTGTCGGTTCTTCCAGGAACCCGGCCGGCGATCAAAGACCACCTAATTAAGATGATAGTTAAGCACATAATTTAGTAATTAATATGATCATTCTTAGTAATAGTAACCGTTTGATTAGTATAGTGTATCTTATTAGTTTTGTCACTGCCACTATATAACATGGAGAAAGTTGTCATTTCAATTCAAAACATCAGAAAGGACAGATAGAAAAGTTTATATGAACAAGAAAACCAACATGAAATAAGACGAGAAAAAAGGAAGCTGAAAAATGGATCAAAAAGTTTTGGCCATAAAAAGGATTTCTATGATCGTTTTTGAGAAGAAAAAAACAACGCGCATGTTCAATAAATTTCAAGATATATCAGGTGCGTTTGGAATTTATTTTAAAATGATTTTATTTTTAATAAAAAATAAAAATTAAATTGTTTTGAGAATCATTCTGGGACCGATTCTGAAATTACGTTTAGTTAGTTTTTTAAGAGATTGTTTGGAGTATGATAAAAAAGTGAAATTGTATTTATTAATTAATATATTATAATATTGTTAATAAGTACTAAAAAATGATAACAGAAAAGTGAAAACAACTTTTAACTGTTTTTTAATTCCTTCGTAAAAAACCATTTTTACTGTTTTCGTTTTTATTTTCAAAACATTTCTTAAACAAACGTCGTTTCATTTTTTTTTTTTATTATTTCTCAAAATTAGTGAAAACCGTTTTAAAAAATGGTTTCAAACACGCACATCATGTACCTGAGTATTTTCATTATTAATTTATTCTGCATAATTAAAGTGAAAGAAAGAAACCTGTTTCCAAGGAGTTTATGGAGCCGAATTATGAGGTCGTCTTCTTCCTCAGAGAAGTCACCACGCTTCACACTGGGGCTAAGATAATTCATCCACCTTAATCTACAACTTTTGCCACACCTCTTCAAACGTATATGTGTGTGTGTATATATATATATATATATACACATATATAGTTAATGTTATAGTGCCTACACAAGTATGCTCCAAAACATTCATCTTCAAAAAACAAAAAACAAAAAAAAAAGGAAGAAGCTAACCTGTCTCTCTGGCAATGCGGTTCCACTTCCCTTTTCCATGCTGTCTTATGTAGTCCATCAATATTCTGTCCTCCTCAGCTGTCCACAGCCCTTTTTTGTGCTCATTTCCAGCTTTCATAGTTGAAGAAGCACAAGAGTACTTTGTAGAAGAGAAAGATATAAGCTTAGAACTGGGCTATCTTTGGAAAGAAAGAAATAATCAAATGTATATATGGTGGTTTATATACTAAGTTCATAGAGAGATTAGTGGTGGTGATAAAGTGAATATTATAGGAGCTGTCGTTGTTGGTGGTTATGTGTAAATATAAATTTCACCACCAATGTTTATAGATATGCATGGTACGGTATATGGGAAAATTAGGGACTTGATAATGGAGTGAAACGATCATCATTATGTTTATGGATATTTAGTTACCATTAATTTATACCTTCTATTTTGAGTTTATCAAAACAAATATACATTGTGTGTTGGATCTTATCAAAATTGTACCTCTAACTTCAAATTCATGGCAAATTTATACCTTTTTTAGTCAACTGATTTTGACCTTGAATGGTCGAATTCACGATAATAATATATTAATTGATGAATTCACGTTAATGAAATATTTAGCTTGAAAATACATGAATTTGTACGCTTTATTGATGATTTTTCCCCTTCATTTTTATTTAACATAACGCCTAATCCATGTTTGGTTATGGGTTTATCTATAAGTTGTAAGAGTAAATTCGTCAATTCATATGTCAACTAAACTACTTGGTGATCCAAAAAAAACTAATAAAACTTTGACATGAGAACAAAATTTAGAGGTACATTTCTAAGAACATTTTTGATGAGTGAGTGTTCTACTCACAAATTAAATGCTTTTAAGCTTAATTATTTGTTTAATTCTCAAGCATTATTTTTATTTTGATGTATTTTAGTGCATTTTGTAGGAAAATGGAGAAAATTAGACTTAGTGGCAATTTGGATCAAAATTTAGAGCAAACCACGCAAAAAAGGGACACAAAGGCCCTTTCCTGGCAGCAAGAGGCGCACGCCCACGCAACATAATGGTGCAGGCACGTGCGCCCGCGCCTCCTCTTTGAGTTGATTGAAGTTTAGGTCATTTTTTGCCCTTAATCCAATTTAGAGGGCCGAGATTGCTCCTTTGAAGGTGATGTGAAAGACTACTAAGCCACAAAAACTCTAATTTTGAGAGGCACATTTATCAAGAAAGATTGGAGACACAAACTTTAAGAACAAAAGAGAGTTTGGAGGCTGAAAATTGGAGGATTTTTCTTGGGGACATCTTGGAAGATTCTTGAAGATTGAAGCCTTGAATACCACTCTACTATAGTTTCCTCTTAATCTCTACTCTTTTTATTTTGATTTTAATTTGAAAATTGTAATTGTTATATTGAGACAACATGATTGCTTTTATGATTTTCATGATGGTTATGCTTATGGATTTGACCATGTGTGGCTAGATTTCTAATCCAGGGCCTTGATATAGCTAGCTTGAACTATGTTTTGAATATTTAGTTAGTTGTTAATGAAATCTTGACTCAATCATTTGTGTTTCTCTTGAACTTAATGCTTCTAGTTGATTGGAAAATAGACTAGTTTTTTAATATCAGTATAAAGATTCACAATCTAATGTTATTGTGAGACCGGGAGGTGATCAACACGTAGGTTATGAGGATCTTGGTAATTGTGAGACTGGGAGGTGATCAAATGCTTTGATAATCATTAAAAGGTTGAGCTTAATGAATGTGTTTATACCCAAGTTAGATAGGGATATTGGCTTATTTATTTGCACATGTTGTTTTACTTGATGCTCATGAGAGGTAATGAGATGAATTTAGAAATCTTAGATTAATGAATTTAGTTAAATTGATTAGTGTTAGCATGAGAAGATTTGGTTAACTCCCAAGATTGTAGGAGATCGTGATTATAGGAATCTACAATTAGTGAGAATATTTTTTGTTACCTTTTACATGTAAATTTCCTAGAATAGACTCTACGTTTCTAGTAGCTAATATTTGTATATATTTACCTCACGATGAGAAGAATAATATGAAAAACAGAAGATTATTGACCAAAAGATCCTTCTAATCCGTCAATTAGCAACCACTAAATAGAAAGACATGGAGAGAACGAAGCGAAGTCAAGACCCTAGAACTCTATTATTATTTTTATTTCCACTCATAATTTTGATATTTAGTTACATATTTTGTTAGATCTTGTGTTCTAGCTTTAATAGTTAAGTTAATTTGCTTTCTCGCTTCAATTACTTAATTCAATCGATTTCGGTCACCTAGATAAAATTTAATCACGAACACTTACGGTACTTAGTTTAATTCACAAAAATTCAGTCCTTGTGGGACGATATTCGACTTAGTCACTTTATTACTTTTACAACCCGTTCACTTTCAGAAAATTTTGCAACAAGTTTTTAGCGTCGTTGTGGGGGATTGAATATTTTGGATAATTTGAACTAATATTGTGATTAAGTGGCTAGTTTTAATTTAGGCTTTTCTTTTTATTTTACTTTACTACTTAATTTTCATTGTCCATTGTTGCTTGACAGTTTATGTGAAGGATTCAGAGCTTGGATTTGCTACCATATAATTCGGAAATCGAATGAGCTTGTCGTGCAAAGTGGAGGAAAAGAAAAGCAAGAATTCAAGCTATGGCGGATGAGCAAGGCAACAACAACAACAATGTCAACAATGCTGTTGTTGACAATCAAGAACGGACTTTGAGGGATTATTTTCGGCCGGTGTTGAATGACAATTAATCGGGGATCTGGCGTCAAGCGATCAAGCTAATAACTTCGAGTTAAAGGTTGCCTTAATCAGTATGGTTCAACATAATCAATATGGGGGATTGCCACATGAGGACCCTAATGTTCAGCTCTCAGTATTTTTGGAGATTTGTGACACAATCAAGATGAACGATGTTGGTGATGATGTGATTCGGTTACGCTTGGTCCCGTTTTCTCTTAGGGATAAGGCGCGAGGTTGGTTACAAGGATTAGCTCCGGGGAGTGTCTCTACTTGGGATGAGTTGGCTCAGAAATTCCTTAACAAGTTCTTTCCTCCCTTAAATACAACATAGTTGAGGAGTGAGATGGCTCAATTCAGACAGTTAGATTGTAAGCCTCTTTACGAGGCATGGGAGCGATTCAAGGACCTCATCCAGAGGCATCCTCAATATGGTTATCAAGAATGGTTCCAGATTCAATTGTTCTACAACAGGTTGAATGGGCAAACGATGACGGTTCTTAATGAGGCGACCAGTGGTACTTTTTTGTCGAAAACTACCGAGGAAGCCTAATTACTTTTGGAAGAAATGTCTACAAACAATTCCCAATGGCCTAATGAGAGGTCGATTTTAAAGAAAGCGGAGAGAGTTCATGAAGTGGATCCAATCGTTGCATTATCCACTCAAGTATCAGCCTTGGCTAATCAATTTTCAGCATGGACCACTCGGGAAGCTTTTACAAGCAAGGATGTGGCTAATGTGGTGAACACTTCTTATGTTGAAGAGGGGATTAACCAAAAACAATGCCGATACATAAACAACCAGAACTACAATTTTCGACCCGCCAACATTTTGCCAACTCACTACCATCTGGGGCTCCAAAATCACGAGAACTTCTTTTATGCCAACCAAAGAAATGTTGTACAACCGCCACTGGGGTATAATCAAAATGTGGGACCTAGTGTGACGGAGAAGAAACAACTTTTGGAAGATATTTTGACTATTTTCATGTTAGAAACCACATCAAAGTTCAAACAAGGTGATTTGAGGCTCACTAACATAGAGGACCATTGTAATAGCATGGAAGCCACCATGAAGAACCTGGAGATGCAAATTGGTCAATTGGCCAATTCCTTAAAGGGCCATCAACCAGGTCAATTTCAAAGTGACAAGGAAAAGAACCCAACCATTGTAAGGCCATTACACTTCAGAGTGAGAAAGCACTTAAGGAGCCCAAGCCCCACAAAGCTAACGCTAAGGAGAAAGAATATGAAGTTGTAGAGGAGTCACCAAAGATAGCCTCAAATCCCAATTCTATTTCATTTCTAGATAATCCTCCTATTGTTGCTCCACCTTTGTTGTTTCCTCAACGGTTTCGAAAGAAGAAACTTGATGCTCTATTTTCCAAGTTTCTTGAAATTTTCAAGAAGTTGCATATTAACTTCCCTTTTGTGGATGCCTTGGAAGAAATGTCGAACTATGTGAAGTTCATGAAGGAAGTAATGTCTAAGAAGCGGAAGTTGGAGGATTACGAAACAGTGAAATTAACAGAAGAATGCAGTCCTATTCTCCAAAGGAAGCTTTCACAAAGTTGAAAGATCTTGGGAGCTTTACTATTCCATGCACCATTGGGAGTTCGACATTCGAGAAGGCTTTGTGTGACATTGGTACTAGCATAAATCTCATGCCTTTATCAGTGTTCCGAAAGTTGGGTCTTGGTGAGATAAAGCCCATTACTATTTCTTTACAAATGGCATATCGTTCTCTTACCTATCCTCGTGGTGTTATTGAGGATGTTTTAGTCAAGGTGGATAAGTGCATCTTCCCGGTGGACTTTGTGGTTCTCAATATAAAAAAGACAAGGAGATTCACAGCATCCTTAGGAGGCCATTTCTTGCTACTGGAAAAGCTTTAATTGATGTTCACATCGTGAATTTGACTCTTCGGGTTAATGAAGAGTAATATCTTCAACTCCATGAAGTTTCCGGATGAGAGGCCCTCTTGCAATCAGATTGAGGTAATTGATTGTTGCACCAAGAGGTAACTAGAGATGTTTTTGTTGGTCTCCGGATCGAATCCGGATGCGGAAGCGTGGTGGTGCGGGGAAGAGGCGGATCGTGTATAACAAAAATTTTCATAAAACTTTTGAGATACTCTATAGATTATATTAATTTATGCACGAATAAATTAATCTCATTAACTTATATATATCAAGAACTCAATCAGGAAAAATACCTGGAAGCCGACTCGGATGATAACTTGAGTTCTTTGACCACGAACAGTCTTTGCTCCAATCTTTGTGTTTAGAAAACCAATGTCTTCCACATCAATTCCTAGAATCCACGAAGACGTGTGTGTGGGCACACATGAGA